CAATGAAGCAAAGGTCTTTCAGTAAATGCCACGCGGCTTGTGCCACAGTTAAGAATTAATCACGCTTTTAGGGTGATGGAAATCCCCGAGCGAATTTGCCAGGCCACTGGCTCAGGGGGAAGTACATGTGGTTATTACCACTGGAGTTCCCCTAAATACTGAGGAAAGCCCCAGTTTACATGCAAACCAATAAGGCGGAGGGCAGGACAAAGTAAGGTTCTTTAAAAGGCAGCGCGAGGCTCCAACCCGCCTGGAACCGCCCCGGCGGCAGGTGTCACTCACACAGACTGGCGGCGTCGGCGCGGGCGCGCGTTGGCCTCGGGGACCAGGTTGGTGACTGCGCTGCTGTGAGTGTGGCGCGGGTGCAGACCCCTGCTGCCCCCGCGCGAGTAGGATTCTGAGACCGAAGCTGCGGCACCAGGGGCGGGGTGGGCTGACCCCCAGGGGCTGCAGCTGCAGAGGATGAGGGTCAGCAGGGTAGCGTGCTCACCAAACACCGCCCGCATGGCAGAGTCTCCTAAACGCTGGAGGGCTTTCAGGGATGGGCAAAAATTGAGGGGCCCCTGGCCCCTGCGATCCTGGGAGCCTTTTCGGTCGGCGCCGCCACTTCGTCGTTTCGTCCGCTAGGAGGCGCCCCACCACTGGGTCGCTGGGCCGCGGGGTCCCGGGGCGGTGCTTGCTGGTCCCCGCGCTGCCATCGCAGAGCCTCAGTCCTCTGTCTTCCTCCCAGGAGCTTAACTTTACTTTCCGGGTAAACCCGTTGGATGGTGAAGCTTTTGCATTTGGCTTAAGTCGATTACCCAAAGATAGGGTGTTTGGTGGTGCCAAATAAACTTCAAGATAGAGCCTAATGCAGGAAGGGTTCTAAAATATTTAAGGAACAAATGGAGGCCTGTTCCTCAAGCAATCGCAGAAAACAGCATTATTTTGGGATTTTTTTTAGTGATCATCATGGAAACCCAGCAGTGTTCTTACTCTGTTAACATTGCCGAAGTGTGAGTCGTCTCAACTCGACAGCAATGGTAGACAGGAACTAACAATAATATTAACTTTATTTGCTATAATTTATTGCTAGCATGAAGTGTAGTTAACAGAGCTGTATGTTCGGACCAGTTCCGGAGACTTTTCGAGAATTTTTCATGTTTAGTTCACCCAGTCTTAGCAGTAGGCACCACAATTATCTCCATTTGAAAATAAGGAAACAAGCATCATACATGTTTACATGTTTAAGGTTATATCCTGGCTAAGAGGGTGGGGTGGGGGGAGGCAGGACTGAATGGTATCGGATATCTAAGATGTCTAACTTCAAAGCCTCATAGCAAACCAGACTGAGCAAACTTTGCAGTCATTAATGTAAATGTAAAACTGATGTCCCGCATGCCATGAAAATGAAGGTACTGTTAAACCCAACGTCTTTAATAACTACTTATATGCCAGGCTCGGTGGATGCTGGAGGGGAGAAAACAATAGGAGATGTAACATAGCTCCTGCTCTGAAACTGCTCACAGTCCAGGTGGAGACAGAAAGAAAAGCACAGTTTACCTCCCAGTATGAGAGAGTTAGGAGTCGACCGTAAGGTCGACGGTTCAAACCCTATATAGGGTCTCTGTGAGTCGGAACTGACTCGACAGCACTTAACAACTACAATGAGAGCTATAAAGAGCCTTGGTGGCAGCTAACCAAAAGTCAGGTGGAAGAAAGATAGGGTGCCATCTGCTTCCCTAAAGGTTTGTTGTTGTAGTTTAGTGGCAGAGAGTTGACCCTGACTTACTGTGACCTTGTATAGGTCTATGAGGCTATCAGTCTTTGTGGGAGCAGAAAGTCTCATCTGTCTCCCGTGGAGCAGCAGGAGGGTTCAGACCTTGTGGGAGGGGCTGGCAGTTTAGAAGAGTGGTGGACTAGGAAGCTAACTAAAGCTGAGTAGAACTGGTAAGAGGTGGTGAAGCGCCAGCCACTGTGGGGTCTGAAGTGGCATTGGTTCCATTCTGCAGGGATGAGCAACTTCTCCAATAGCATTTGGAAACCTACTTGTTGAAAACAGTTAAGGCAGAAGGCTGAAATGATCCAGAAGTGGTATTTAACACATTTTTATATAGTTATTTTATACTTACTGCTTTAATTTCTACAAATACATATATGCCTTGTTTCCACACCAAAGCTGCTTTACGGTAACATCCAAGTAGGGAGTTTGCAAACTCCAATGTATAAAGAGTCTAGACAGGTGATCAAAATAAGCAACCTGTGCGTATCTTTTTAAACAAAAGTGCATTTTGTTTATTTAACGTGTAGCAATATTTCCCATTTCCACAAAGAAATGTGATTCTCTCTCATGTTTCTGCCTCAGAACACATGTCTCTGTCTACCATTAATTTTGCTATTCCTTGTAGACTTTTCATTTCCCTCTCAATTCCATAGTAAGAAAAACAATAGTACCAGCTCAGTAAGAAATAGCTATTGACTGTCAGTCTTGGTTTCAGGGAGTCAAAATATGGAGACCACATGCCCTTTCTGAAGGGAATAACTCCACTCAAGCTGATTGAGGCCATGCAGGAATATAGGCTCAGTGTTGCCAGACCATCAGATCTTGCAAGAGAAGCTTGAAATCTAGAATTTTATGGGAGATCATTTTTATTTAAATTGCTGGCATTTAAATGAAAACATCTAAAACTATTGTTGTCCAAGAAGAAAACTTATTTGGAAAATTGGTGCAATTCAAATAAGGAGCATTTTATCTATGCAAACTAACAATGTTCTTAGAATTATACTTTGTTTATGTAAGATGCTAATTTTGGGGCAGCTGAGTACAGGGTATAGCTTTGGTGTGGAACTCTGTATTGTTACTTTTATCTTATTTATGTAGAACTCTGTAGTATTATTATTTGGTTCCTTTTCTCTAAATTTAAAATAATCTCAAAATTGTTGTTATTGTTGTTGAGTGCTTGGAGTAGGTTGAGTGCTTGCAGCCCTGTGTGGGGTTTCTGTTGCTTATCCTACAGCACCATAATTTTTTCAACAGTAAAATAACTATGATCTGCTTCTGTGCAAGCCAAACAATACCTCTACTGGCCACCAGTTTGAAACTTCTCTTTCCCTGGGATTTCTCATTCCCTACATGGGAGTTCTGGTGGTGTGGCGCTGTAGGATCAGCTCCCTTCTGCAAGGCCAGTTTGAACCACAAGGTTGGCGCTCGCTATGAGTCACAATCGACTCAATGGCACTTAACAGCAACAACAAATAAAAGTGGCTCTAGTTTAGAGAAAATATCCTCCCATAAAATCATTGTGTTACATTTATGAATTATGTGACTTTTAAAACCATCTTTTTTATTTTTTATAGGTTTAAAAAAGGAAGCGAACTATTCCACTTCTAGATTCTGGTTTATTTCTTTTATAAGTTGAAACATCTTAAAATGGAGGCCTAAAACCCTTAAAAGGGACTTAGCCTATTCTCCGGGAGGTAGTTTTGTGCATGAGTAAAAATATTAATTGGTTATTGATATTCAAAGAATGTTAATTTTAAAAATGTGATTTAATTGTGTGAGGCATCACTATAATCAGTTTGACTTTGAATTTCATTCATGGAAGTAAAGAAGAAATTACTGTAGCTTGAGCACATTGTTGAAACACTTTTTTCAAAGTTGGTTAGACTTTCGTTTCATTGGCTGCTGTGTAGAATAGGAAAAAGTACCTGTGTTTTATAAAAATTTAAAAATGAATGACAGTTATCAAGAACCAAGAATAAATATTCTACGCTCTACTGAATTAGACAGATATGCAAATGAGAACTTTGACATATTAAAAGATTTCTGCAATGACAAAGAAATGTCAAGAACAAAACTTTTTGATAGGTACAACAAATTTAGGGAAAGTAGGAAAGATAAACATGATGACTGGTGAAAAACTATCTGATGACTTCCAAGACTATTGATAATATTTTATGAGTCTAAAATTTAGCTTGTTCAAATGGTCTGTATCTCAGAAAATGATGTCTGGATGGTTAGATTTTAGCAGCTAAATAAACTTATTCAGAAAGAACATCTATACAAATTCTGATACATACATTATTATTTAGAATGAAAATTTTCATTTGTCAACGTCTAAGGGTATCACTATGCCCAAGCAACTATGTTCTTGGTATTTTTGAGGAAGTAATATTATCTAATACATTTCAAAACCAGGCTTTAAGATACATAGATGCATGAGTATTAGATAATAATTATATCAAACAAAGGAAATGTTGTCAGTCAGCATTGTTAATCTTTTATTTGTAGGGGAACATTAGCTAGTTTTATTTTTCCCATTAAAATGGTTATGGGTCTAGAATTTACTTAATTTGAGAAAGATTTGGATAAACTCTATTCATTAACTCTCAAATGTTTGTCAGCCATCAGAAGACATCTTATTAGTTATATACCTGTCAGAAATAAAAATTGATGCTAATTAAAATAAAATATGATATATCAGTAATTACAAGATTGTTAACAGGGATATTCAATCATGTGTCTTAGGAACAATGAAATACGGCAGTGTACTCTTACTATTTTGAGGTTGATCTTATACCTTTTTTCTAGCTACTGAGTTTCATCATTTAAAAAAAAAGCAAAATAAACTTAATCTGAATACTTTTTCTACTGAACATTTATGGAGCATAGCTTTCCACCATGAAAAGAAACTAGCTGGTGGAATGCCACTGAAGCTCTCTAGTGGCCTGGAGAAATTGACCAACTATGGAAATACCTGACACTAATTGACACTCTCCACTTCCACAAAGAGTTTTCACATCACTGTGTGGCATCATGTTTACATGCAGATGCATAAATATTGAACAAAGTTGCAATTGTGCCAGAAAAAGTTAATTGTCCCTAAATTTTGTGTTAGCATGGGGTGTAGAGTCTCACCATGCTGAAATCCTAAATTCATAAAAGGAAAGGAATGAAAGATTTCCTTTCCTAGCCATCCATCCTAGTATTGAAATGATAAAATCAAAGCCATGCACAAAACTACCTCCCTAGAGAATGGCTAGTCCCTTTTCCTCCTCTCCATCTCAAAATGAACATAGAAAATAGTAAATTCTTATCAAATTTGATGAAAAGCACCAAGACATCTGAATTGAAATACGACTTTTCCTGCGAACTGTACCGAATATCTACATATTCGACGTTCCCCGTTGGAGTTCCTATCTCAGAAAGGAGTCTTGCGCATGCTGGTTTTTATTACACGGGTGTGAATGACAAGGTCAAATGCTTCTGTTGTGGTCTGATGCTGGATAACTGGAAACGAGGAGACAATGCTATTGAAAAGCATAAACAGCTGTATCCTAGCTGTAGCTTTGTTCAGAATCTGAGCTCAGTTAACAGTTTTGGGGCCACCCCTCAGTCTGCTTTTTCTTCATCAGTAACACATTCCACATATTCATTACTACCAAGTTTGGAAAACAGTGGATATTTCAGTGGCTCTTATTCAAGCTTCCCATCAAATCCTGTAAACTCCAGTACAAATCAAGGTTTCTCTGCCATGAGGAGAAGCCCCTACAATTGTGCAATGAATACTGAAAAAGCCAGATTACTTTCTTTCCAGATGTGGCCATTGGCCTTTCTATCGCCAACAGATCTGGCAAAAGCAGGCTTTTACTACTTAGGACCCGGAGACAGAGTGGCTTGCTTTGCCTGTGGTGGAAAATTGAGTAATTGGGAACGCAAGGATAATGTTATGGCGGAACACCTGCGACATTTTCCCAGCTGTCCATTTTTAGAAAATCAGTTTCAAGAAACTTTGAGATACACTGTTTCTAACGCGAGTATGCAGACACAGGCAGCTCGGATTAAAACATTCTGTAACTGGCCTTCTAGTGTTCCAGTTCCACCTGAGCAGCTTGCAAGTGCTGGCTTTTATTATGTGGGTAAGAAACAATCTAATAATAACAAAAGTATTCAATATATTTTACAGTATACATATATTTTACATATATGTTTTCATAAATTTTGGTCCAAAATTAATTTTAGGTCATAGTGATGATGTCAAATGCTTTTGCTGTGATGGTGGACTGAGGTGCTGGGAATTTGGAGATGACCCATGGGTTGAACACGCCAAATGGTTTCCAAGGTAATTGTTTTGAAATTCTCCCTAAATTTTTGTGATTATAGGAGTGGGCTATATGTGTATGGGCTTCTAGTATGGCACTGTAGGGTCAGCACTGGAATGCTCACTAAGGTCAGTAGTTCAAACCCACCAGCTGCTCCTTGGAAACCACAGACAAAGACACTATGAGTCGGAACTGACTCAATGGCACTTAACAACAACAACATGTATGTATAGGAGTTTGCCTTATGATCAGCTGTTACTTTATTGTCTTCATTTAAAAAATACATTTGTCAAGACAGTTTTCGTGGGTAACTTAGATAAATAATGATTTAAAAGGTTTCGATCAAGATTTAAGAAATAGGTTTGATATTAAAAATTTTAATTTACAAATGTCTTTTTTAAAAAAGAAGCATGGTTATTATAAAACCACATTCACACCTTGTAGAAAAGTGCAGAGACAAAAAATTAAGTTCAGAAATTCCATTACCTAAAGATGACCACAGAGCCCTGTTGTGGCACTATAGGATAAGCACTGGACCACAAGGTCGGTTTGAACTGCAAAGTCAGTGGTTAAAACTCACAGCCACTCCTCGGAAACCCTATTCAAAGTCTCTATGAGTCAGAGCAGACTCGATAGCATTTAACAACAACAAAGATGACCACAGTTACCATTTTAGGGACTATCCCTCCAAATATCTATCTATGTTGCTGTTGTGTACCAGTGAGTCAGTTTAGACTGATCGCAACCCTATAGAACAGAGTAGAATTGCCAAATAGGGTTTCCCAAGCTGTATGTATATATATACACATACATATACATACAAGTGCACACAAAGTTACATGAATGATATCTTATATGTTTTGTTTGAAAACTTTCATACATAGTTCCTTTCATTCAACATTCAACAATATTAATAGAATACCGATTTCGAGGCATGGTTCTAGGTGCTTGAAAGATACCAGTTGAACAAAACAAAGACTCCTGGTCTCATACACTTACTTATTTTATAACAGGAAAAGACAGAAATGTATGAAAAACTTAATAAATACATTGTAGAGCATAATGGAAGCTAATAAGTGGATGGAAAAAGAGAATGGAGTAAGGGTTGGAAGTGTCAGAAGGTCACCTTATTAAATATAGTGGTTAGCCTCCAGCCCTGGACCAGCTAAGCATTGACTGCAAGTTGAACCAAAAAGTTGGCGGTTCAAACTCACCAGCTGCTCCTAAGAAACCCTATACAGGGTTGCTATGACTAGGAACCAACTCGACAGCACTTAATAACAACATAATAAGATTAATTTTATAAAGAATAAAATTTTATGAAAAAGAAACTAGTAATACATCAAATTTATGTTAGCTGTGATAGGCATCATCTTAAAAAGCACATTTTAAAAAGTTTTTATTGTGAACTGAGTGAAGGTTTACAGATGAGACCATCGGTTTTACATTCAGCAAATTCACTTTGTTTCATCTCAATGATTGCAATCCCCTCCATGGAACAGCAGTTATTCCACTTCCTCCCTGTGGTTCCTATTTCCATCCCACCCTCTTTCCAGCCCTTCTCAACTTTGGCCTTAGGTAAATGTTGCCCTTTTGATTTTGAATGGTTGGCCATTCCATGGTGAGCAGACCTTATTAGTGTTGTGGTTCCCATCCCCCACCCCCACCCCATATATTTATCTACTGCTTGGCTAAAGATTGGGTCATGAGGGCGAGTTCCTTTCCAAACCTGAAGGGTGGTTGAGGATCATAGGTTAGGGTTCCTACAATCTCTTTCTGATCAATAAGCCTGGTCTTATTATTTTTATTTGAGTTTTGGTCCACATTTTCTGCCACTCAATCTGGGACCTTCTAATGTGATCCCTTTTAGAACAGTTGGTAGTGGTAACTGAGCACCATCTTGTTCTTCTAGTCTCAGAGTCATGTTGACATGTTCACCTGTTGCATTGGTCCGTTGAACCAGTTGATTCCAAGCATCTTCAATTCTCACTACATTTCTTTCTTCTGCACATGGAGATACAAATAGTTGTACCTAAGATGAATTGTACCTAAGATGACTTGCTCATGAGCTTTTATTTCCCAGATGCTACTCACTGAAGTAGGATGTAGAACATTGTCTTTGTGGACTATGTTATGCCAATTGACCTTGGTGTCCCCTGAGGTTATGGCCCTGAGTCCTGAGGCCTAGAACCTCATTGCCTTACGATGCTTGGTAATATCTAAGAAGTTTTCATCATTTTGTTCTCTGTGTGCTCCATCACATTCACAGGTGTGTTTGCAGCAATGGGAAATACCCATGTACAAATATTCTCTTCCAAATCCTCTTCCAAAAGTATATTTGTGGATATACTTCCACTCTCCCTCCCACGCCCCTTTAGCTTGTGTATCTGTCCATGTAGCTATTCACAGAACACTGTTGTTCCAGGGCTATGTATATAACACTACTACCTCTATCCCCTTTAATCCTTGCATATCTCCCTGTGTCTTCAACTGTCTTCATCATTCTTCGACCACCCTCTCTCTTCTTAAATACTGCCCTCCCTGTCATCCAAGTTAACATGGTGTGGTGCTGTATGATAAGCACTGGACTGGTAACCATAAAGTTGGCGGTTCAAACCTGCCAGCTGCTCCTCAGAAAGCCTATGCAGGGTCGCTATGAGTCGGAATCAACTCAATGGCACTTTATAACCCTCTAGCCCAGAGGTGGGGAACATGTGGGCCACAGGCCATGTAAGACTTGCGGAATCATTTGGTCTGGCCCTGCCAAGACAATTGCAGTTCCAGCCATCACATTGGTGGTAGTGGTAGTTGTGTGCCATCAAGTCGGTTCTGACTCATAGCAACCCTGAATGGGTTTCCACGGCTGTAAATCTTTATAAGGGCTGAAAGCCTCCTCTTTCTCCTGCAGAGAAACTGATAGATTTGAACTACTGACCTTGCAGCTAGCAGCCCAGCTCGTAATCCACTATGTTACCAGAGCTCCCTAGCCATCACGTTAGGGCCGACTTAATTAAATGTAACAGGCTAATTTTTTAAGTTGATAATTTTGTATGGCCCACGAATGATGTTATAAATTCTGGCAGAAAAAAGCTTCACCACCATTGCTGTAGCCAGTGACTCACTCTCCCTTCCCTCCAACCTCTGGTAACTGTCAAAGAATGTTTCTAAAAAGCCAATTTTAAAAACGCATTAAAAGTTGTCCAAATCCTATTATAGGGTACTTTTCAGATACATTGAAAGAAAATGAACCACAATAGAATCATCTCACATGCTGTTGCTCTTGTTATGTTTTGTGGAGTCGGATAGGGTTTCTGAGGGTGTAAATCTTTGTGGAAGCAGAAAGCCTCATTTGTCTCCCATGGAGCAGCTGGTGGGCTCAAACTGCTGACCTTGTGGTTTGTTGTTGTTGTTAAGTGCCGTGGAGCCGGTTCTGATTCCTAGCAACCCTGTATAGGGTTTCTGAGGTGTGGCTGGTGAGCTTGAACTGTTGACCTTGCAGGTCAAACCAATCTTGCAGTCCAGCCAGCACATTATCCTGCAGTGGCACACCAGCATGCCTTGTGGTTTGCAGTGCTGTGCTTATCCACATTGTGCTCCTGTTCTGGAGGGAAGAAGTCTGCAATCAGTGTTGGCTGAGCCATGTTCTCTCTGGAGACTCTATGGAAAATTCTTCCTTGTCTCTTACCAGTTCTGGGGGGCCCTGACATTTTCTTTGGCTTGTGATAGCACCTCACCCAGTCTCTACTTCTGTCTGCACATGGATGTCTTCCCTTCCCCTGACCCACTGGGCTAGGATTTATTTTATTCTTTCAAGCTGAGAATCAGTGATTCTAAATGATTCCATGATTTGGGATAAGTATCTAACCAGATTTAAAATGGGGACAATAACCTAGAGGAGAAACTTAGGTCATTAAAATTTTCACTCCATTATAAAATGTCCTTCCAACTGTATTTTCTTTTTACATTTTAGGTGTGAGTACTTGATACAGATTAAAGGACAGGAGTTCATAACTCGAGTTCAAGCCAGTTACCCTCATCTACTTGAACAGGTAGGAAGGGTTGTTTGTTTGCTTGCTTTTAAATAATAGGTTAAAAACTAAAAATTCACTGCTGTTGAGTCAATTCGAAATCATGCCAATCTGTAGGACAGCAGAACTGCCCCCATAGAGTTTCCAAGGCTGTAATTTATTGGCTACTAACAGATCATTTATTTCCTGATAACTACAGTGATATTTTAGTGAAAAGGCAAGAGTTGCATTAAAAAGTTATTTTTTTTTTGTTTTACAAAATCCATTCTGATCTCAGAAAGTACCTTTCCTCAGGGAAAGAAAGAAAAAAAGAGATTCGTAGCTAGTAACCTCCTGAAAAAATGTTGTATTTCTCCAAGTATGTCTCCAATCAAGTTACAATAAATTAAAATGTTAGCGGGGTAAATGGCTGGGATAGTTCTGTTTAATAGTTTTACTATATAAACTTGTCTTAAACATATTTGAAAAAGAGGATTTTATTGCTGTTATTAGTCTTTCTGGAAAAGCAACTAAGAATTTAGGTAATAGTTTGGGGGTCATACACTCTAAGCCGTTGTCAGCAGAGCTGATTATTCAATATCCCAAAGGATGATTCAGAGATAAGAGGCAAACAGCATCTGTCTCACAGATAACTGAAAAATGTATAGCTCTTCTTGCTTAAAGAAAACAGACTTCACTTGCTAAACATATGCAGTGGTGAAGTACCACTTCATTTATGGCTTAGGAAATACCTGATGAATGTAAATGAAATATTTCTTTTTACTTAAATTTTTTATTTCACAAGTAAGCAATAAATTGAATAAAATAGACCTATTGGCCATTTTTTATTGCAGTGGGTAGGATAAGATTTATATTTTAATTTATATGTGTATTTTTTTTTGTAGCTATTATCCACTTCAGACACACCAGAAGATGAAAATGCAGAGTCACCAAGTATGTATGATCTAATATATTACTGCATTTAAATAGAACCACACGGTACTCCTACAATGGAATGTCTCTAGTAATATATGCATTTGCATTACAATCAACAATTTACAATGCATTTTCAAATATAATAAGTTGATATTTTTCAAACCTCAGTATGTATCAGATTTGTCTGAAGGGCTTTAAAAATATATATTAACAAGATTTCTGTCTCAGCCTCAGATCTCCTGAGTTAAATCAGTATCAAAGGGTTGCATTTTGGGAGCAAGATGAGGCTTTCTGCTCCCGTAAACATTTACAGCCTAGGAAACCCTGTACGGGGTCACTATGAGTCGGAACTGACTGCACAGTACTTAACAACAGCAACAACAAAGGTTGCATTTACTAATCTATAGCTTTAACAAACTACTTACAGTCAGTGTAACTCCTCTTCTTGGACTAGTGTTTGAGAATAGGTGCAGGACAACAGATTGTTCACATACTCCTAATCTCCACGACTTCATTCTGCTTGAATCCACCACCGACACTCATGGAAGCAGCAGTTAAAAAAATCAAACAACATATTACATTAGGCACATCTGCTGCACAAGAGACCTCTGTAAAGTGTCCAAGAACAAAGATGTCAGTTTGAGGACTAAGGTGCACTTGGCCCAAGCCATGCTATTTTCGAGTAGCCTCATGTGCATGTAAAAGTTGGACAATGACTAAGGAAGACCGTAGAAGTATTGATGCATTTGAGTTATGGTGTTGGAGAATAGTTAAGTATCATGGCCTGCCAGAAGAGCAAACACATCTGTGTTGGAAGAAGTACAGCCATAACACTCCTTAGAAACCAGGGTGACCAGACTTCGTTTCTCATACTTTGTATGTATTGTCAGGAAGAACTAGTCCCTGGAGAAAGACATCATGCTTTGTAAAGTGGAGGGTTGGCGTAAAAGAGGAAGACCCCCAACGAGATGAATTTCTTTTCACAGTGGCAGCAGCAATGGGCTCAAGCATAGCATCGATTGTGAGATTGGTACAGGACCAGGCAGTGTTTCATTTTGTTGTGTATAAAGTCACTAGGAGTTGGTACTGACTCAAAGGTGCCTAACAACAACTCCCACTCTCCAATAGAGAACTGGAGACTGAGAAGTTAAGTAACTTGTCCATCAGCTTAAATGTAAAGGTGAAAGAACTGGTATTTGAACAAGCTCTTTGACTCCATTATCTAGTGTTAAATTCAATTTAATAAATAATTATTGTGTATTTTTTGTTCTGAAAAGACAGTGGAGAGGAGGAGATACATTACTCATACTTTCATGAGCCAATGGTCTAAGGGGTACACTTAGCATAAATGTTGTAAGTTAAGTACAGTAATTCTCAACATTGTTTCTTTCTCATACTTACATATATGAGGCTAAGTCAAAAAGTATTGCTACAAAATTCATAGAAACCTTTATTAAACAAAAAATATCAAAATGTGCAGCTATTGTTTCTCAACATAGCCTGTATTACAGTGATATTTCCATCTCTGTAATCCTTCTGCAAGGTCGGTGGTTCAAACTCACCAGACGCTCCTCAGAAACCCTATAACAGGGTCGCTATGAGTTGGGACCAACTTGATGGCACTTAACAGCAACAACCCTTCCCCAAAGACTTCTGTGTTCTTTGATTTGCATCAAAACAGCAGTTTGGGCATTCTTGAGGAACTAAAATTTTGTTCCTTTACAATATTCTTTGAGTTTGGGAAATAAAAGGAAGTTTGAGGGGACGAATCAGGACTGTAGGGTGGATGGGGTAAGACTTCCCAATGAAAAATTCTTGAAGGACAACACTTGCTACTTGAAGAATGAGTATTGTCATGATGGGAAAAAAAAAGTTCCTCAGTGCAACTTTCCTGGGCTTTTTCTTATCAGTGTCGTTTTTCAAATTTAAAAAGCTTCATAGTAAGTGCCCATGATCATCCTGCATCCTTTGAGAAAAATCTATGAAGATGACCCTTTTGGAATCCCTAAAAGAAGCCTCAAAACCTTCTGAGCTGACCTCTTTGTGTTGAATTGAACTGGCCCAGCTGATTGCCTCAGAAGGCACGGTTTTCATCACACTGAGGCAAGTGTAGTCCTGAGAGAACTTGTTTTCAATCATCCACGGATCACAGAGACATGTTTAAACATGTTTTGTTTGGAATAAACCACAGCATGTATGAACTGGAACACCAGTAGCAATACTTTTTGATTCACATTTGTATATATACCAGTGATCCCAGATAATGCATATTTTGTATCTGAACACAATATTTCATATTATTACTTCAGTGACTAAACATATATATCACTATTTTGAATTGAACAAACTTATATAAAATAGTACCTATAGAGTCTTGGGGTGACGCTGCAGGGTAAGCACTGGACTGCTAACCAAAAGGCTGATGGTTTAAACTCACCAATCACTCCTCAGTAACCCTTTACTCCTAGAGTCGTTATTAGTCAAACTGACTAGATGGCATTTAACAACAACAATACATTTTTCTGGTTTAAAATTTTTTTATATTGTAATAAATTTCCATTTAAAATATACAGATTACCCTAATATGTGCTAAATTCTTTCTTCTATATAGTTATTCGCTTTGGACCTGGAGAAAACCATTCAGAAGATGCAGTCATGATGAATACACCCGTGGTTACAGCGGCCTTGGAAATGGGCTTCAGTCGAAGCTTGGTAAAGCAGACAGTTCAGAGTAAAATCCTAACCTCTGGCGAGAATTATAAGACCATCAGTGATCTTGTGATAGATGTACTTAATGCAGAAGATGAAATACGACAAGAAGAGAAAGAAAAAGCAACCGAGGAAAAAGAATCAGGTAGGCTTATTGATTTAATATGAACCTATGCATTTTCATAAATAAGAATTTTCATAAGGATTTGATATCACAGTTTATAGGTTACTGAAAACATACTTGTAAGTCAATTCAGTCATATTTTTCTGATATTTTATATTTTTAATTTGAATTCTGAAAAGTTTCTCTTCTTAGAATATAACTGAATTGCTCAGTGAATAGAAAAAAATATTTTTCTGAGTTAAAATATTTCTTCCCCTACTTCATATTTTCACTCTGGGAAGTTAACTGTGTATGAAATTTTTCATGGCACATTTTTGATCCCAGGCCAGTTGCTCATTCCTCTTTGTATAAACTGAGGTCTGATGAAGGGCAAATACGAATTTTTGTATCAGTCTAACTGTGCATCTCAGACTGTGACTGTTAACAAACACACTAATTATGATTAAGTCCTCTCCCTGCCCATACAAGAGTTTAGCTCCCCTTCAGGCTGTAATGTAGGATAAGTCCTCGGGTACAATGTAGGATAAGTCCTCGGGTACTGTTTCACGTGCCTTCAGGACAGGCTCCAGGCCCTTCCATACTAACTTTGTCTGTCACTCTATTGCCTTTCATAAAAGCACTCTTCCTTTGCCCAGTAGCTTATAGATTATGGTAAAACTATATCTTAATTAATTAATTAATAAACTTAGATTCATAAACACATAGTCATATTTCCAAGAGATAATGATGCAGTAGATTTTCAAAAGCATCAAATTATTTGCCAATTAATATCAAAGCTAAATCTTGAAGGAGAGTAAGATGACACTATAGGATGGGAAAGTGTTCTTTGACAAGTAGGGTTTATTTTACAAAATATTGTTAGTACATTCCATCTTTACTATGAAATACGCAGGTAATGGAAATAGAATGTGAAATTCAGGGAAATGTTGAAAATGTCACCCTAAAATAGGATTTTAAGGAAATTTTATATAAGAATGATTTAAGAGAAACATTTTTCTATCATTTTAGTTTTTCCTCATTTGATCTGACCCCAATAGTCTTGACTAGATTGAATGGAAATTTCAATAGCGTATTCTAAAGTTGATTTGATTAATCAGGCTTAGCAGTCTTTAAAACAACTCAGAACAGAGATCCTGATGTCAAACTGCCTTGGTTTGACTTTTTCTAGTTAGGTGTCCATTAGCAAGTTCCTTGCCTCACCTTGCCTCATTTTTTCTCATGAGAGTATTATTGTTAGAATGAAATGAACTATTGGAAGGAGTTAATAGGTACAAAGTGTTTAACATAGTGCTCTTTGTAATTATTGTATGTAGCATTATTATTAGGCAAAGGGAAATTAGATATCCCTTCCCCACCAACCTAGCAATCAGTTTCAATCCCTGAATGATGCAGGATTACAGTTGGCTTTCATTCAATTATGTGTATGGGTTTAGAAGGAATTTTGGGAGCAGAGTCTGAACATGTTTGTGTTTGTTTCCTTTTTCTATAAAGATGATCTATCATTAATTCGGAAGAATAGAATGGCCCTTTTTCAACATCTGACTTGTGTGTTTCCAATCCTGGATAGTCTACTGATTGCCAGAGTAATTAATGAACAAGAACATGATGTTATTAAACAGAAAACACAGACACCTTTACAAGCAAGAGAACTGATTGATACTATTTTAGTAAAAGGAAATAATGCAGCCATCATATTCAGAAACGCCCTACAAGAAAATGACCCTGCATTATATAAGAATTTATTCGGTAAGTGCTAGGAATTATTTTTGAGAAATTTTAGGTGAATCGATGATATGGTCTCATTAATGACTTGTGATGATTGAAAATACTTCAATCTAATATGTTATTGTTGCTTCTAAGTGCTCTTCAATCAATTCTGACTCTTAGCGACCCTGTATAGGGTTTCCAAGGATCATCTGGTAGGTTTGAACCATCAACCTGTGGTTTACAGTCCAGTGCTGATCCTACCAACTATTAACATTGTAGGCTTATACACTAAAAGAAGTCCTGGTGTGATGCTGTAGGATCAGCACTGGCCTGCTAACTGCAAGGACTATGGTTCAAACCCACCAGCCTCTCCTTGGAAATCCTATACAGAGTTGCTATGAGTTGGAACATACAATATATGCTATAAAACTTAATTGTACAGACAGATCTTTGTTGCATTCTGACAATTTTTTAAAAATATTATTGGCCAATCAGTTTGAAAATATATATTCTAGGGCTAAATAGCAACATCATTTGGTATAGTAATGTTTTTTTCTATTTCTTTCTCAGTGCAACAGGACATAAAGTATATTCCCACAGAAGATGTTTCAGGTAAAACAGTATTAATAATCTAAGCTATTCTTTTCCTGACTTTTTATTGGAGAAGAAGCATTGTCATTTAATACCAATCATTTTCTCTTCTTAGATCTACCAATGGAAGAACAATTGAGGAGATTACAAGAAGAAAGAACATGTAAAGTGTGTATGGACAAGGAAGTGTCCATAGTGTTTATTCCTTGTGGTCATCTAGTAGTATGCAAAGACTGTGCCCCATCGCTAAGGAAGTGCCCTATCTGCAGAGGTACAATCAAGGGTACGGTTCGTACATTTCTTTCATGAAGGTGACCCCAAACCTTGTCCAAACTTGGAGAACTAATGAACTGAAATGTGTTGTAATTTTAACTTTTATATGGATTTGGTTTCTTTCTTTTTTTAAAACTTTTTACTGTGACTTGAGTGAAGGTTTACAGACAAGATCATCAGCTTTACATTCACAGATTTGGTTTCTTTTAAAACTTATTTATTCACCACTCAGGAAGACATGTGGTTTCCATAAATTAATATTATATAAGTAAATTTATGTAAATATTAACATATAAATATACATCTAAAATATATGTATATGCTTGTATACCAAGAGAACCATAAGCTTTGGCTTTTTATAAATAAAAAATAGAGATAGTACTAAAAACACAGTACTAAATCTCAATGTCAACATGACTAAAATAGTAAGTGAAGTAAATCAAGGTTTTTGAGATAACTGTACAAAATTTAAAATATTTTGAAGTTGTATTAAGAGCCAGGAGCACAATTTCTTTGTCTCTTTCAATCAATGTCCTATACATAGGTCTCAGTATTTGCTGAAAACCTTTTCAGGGACATGATGACTAATGCTGCTATTTTTGTATTCTGTGAGGAACAATTTAATAAAGTAAAAAAAAAAAAATGCTGTTTTTAATGTCTTTATTTTGATGGTATCTGATCAATTAATCACTCCCAGGCTCTTTCCATACCTTCTTCAATTCTCTTGAGTGTCAATCTACAGTTTAGATCCTTTTCCACAGACTGCTTCTGCATGAACTTTTGTAGGGCATAAGGGTCAATCACATCTGGCTTTAATTTATAGGATCTTAAGGGATGCACAGTAGGAGAAGCACTGTACTACTAACTGAAAGGTTGATAGTATAAACCCACCAGTTGCTCCTTGGAAACCCTAGAGTGTTGCTACTGACTAGACTACATTTAACAAAAATGATAACAACGATGAAATTAAATACTACCCTCAGTAAATTTGATTATTCATCTGTCAATTCTGTTAGTGAATCTTGTGTCAGCTTTTGTTGATAAGTGCCACTGAGTCAGCTCTGACCCACAGCAACCCTGTATAGGGTTTCTGAGGAGCAACTGGTGAGCTTGAACCACTGACCTTACAGTTCAAATAACTTTGCAGCCCAGTACATTAATGTACAGTGCCACACCAGGACTCCAGTCATCACATTGGTCGTGGTGGTGGTGATGTCCCATGAAGTCAGTTCTGCCTCACAGTGACACTGCATAGGGTTTCTGAGGCTGTAAATCTTTACAGGAGCAGAAAGCCTCATCTTTTTCCTATGGAACTGCTGGTAGTTTTCGAACTGCTAACCGTGAGACTAGTAGCCCAACATGTTACCACTTTACCTATTTGGAACCCTCTAGATTTTTTTTATCACCACTTTGGTATTAATTCTGTACGTCAGAAGTATGTTGGTTAGCAGTCCTTGGGACAAACAGCTTGTTTTGGTGAATACATCCATATGGTTAGTATAGCAACATTTCCCCCTCTGCAATTGCTAAGGATCTATATGCCAGGGATAGTTTTGGGTGTGTGACATATGACTGTCTCCCTAGCCCCATCTATCCTTCTCTTCATTCCCCAGAACTGGTATTTGGTTTAAACCTCAACATACAATATGTAACAACACTGTTATATTCAGAACTTTGCAGGTGCCTCATTTCATACTTAAGCCATGTTTGCTACAGCTTCCAAGGAAGTTTTTATTCACTTCCTAAGATTACTTGACACTATGATATTTCTTGAAGTCCTGGTGTGGCACTGTAAGATAAGCATTTCACTGCAAGTTTGGTTTGAACCACAAAGTTGGCACTTAAAAAACAACATGGTATTTCCTATTAGCCATTAAAAGTTTTTCTGGGTCAGAGACAACGTCATTGAGCTGTATTTTCACTTCACCACATCCTGATGTCTTGCACATAGTAGACAGTGTGGATGTTTATACTAAGTAAATTCTAAGGAAAACTATCAGATGTGATTTTAGAAGCAATACCAATCCCTTTGAAGCAAAGGGTGTCAGTGGGTCAGTATTCCTCAGCTTTTCTAAAACTATGCCCAACCTCACCACTGTATTCAAGATTTATTGTTAAATGCTGTGGAGTCAGTTCCAACTCATATGACCCTGCACAGGGTTTCCAAGGAGTGGCTGGTGCGTTTGAACTGCTGACCTTTCAGTTAGCAGCTCAGTGATTATCCAATCAGTGCTACACCAGGACTTCAGATTTAGAGAAGGCCTAATTTCCAAAGTTTGAACAAATCATAGTCCCCCTCCTCCTTAATTGTACGATATACCTGCTCCTTGTGAGGTTTGGGCATGGCCTTTCATCTACCTTTCTAAACTCTTTTCTACCACCCCCAAATTGTCACTATATTCTAGTCACCTTGGTTTTCTTCCATTTCTAAACATATCAAGTCTTTTTTGCTTCAGGATCTTTGAGTGAAGTGCTCCTTCATACCATTTTCCCTGAAACATTCCTACGTATTCTCCAGGTCTCAGCCTAGATGTTATTTCCTTCAGTGAGATTGTCTCTGATTTCCCCCTCTAGATTATATCCCCCTGAATGTTTAAGGGACTTTTTCTTCATAACACTCACCACAACTTTTATGTATACATTATATGTTTGTTGAATGTCATATTCTACAGTCAAATGTTCCATGAGACCAAGAACAATATATCTTGTTCACCACTAGATGAAGTCTGGTGTGGAGCTGTAGGTTAATCTGGGTTGATGAGCTGGACTGCAAGGTCAGTTTGAACTGCAAGGTTGGTGGTTCAACCTCACCAGCTGCTTCTCGGAAACCATATACAGGATTACCATGAGTCGGAAATGACTCTATGACATTTAACAAAACCAATATCAATATGGAGTCCTGGTGTGGTGATGTTTGATAAGTACTGGGCTGCTAACTGAAAGGTCGATAGTTCAAACCTACTAGCCAATACCTGGAAACCCTATACAGGATTGCTATGAGTTGGAATGACTGAACAGCACTTAACAACATATGTCTAGCATCTTGCACAGACCTTGATACAGAATAGGTCCATAATGAAGAAAGGAATGAATGAATGAAGGCAGAATGTGAGTGATTTCTTCCCCTGTAATCACTGTTGCTGTTAAAGTGCCAGCACGTCAGAACCACTCATAGCAGCGCTGTATTCTGAGGATGTAAATCTTTGTGGGAGCAGAAATCCTCATCTTTCTCCCATGGACAGCTGGTGGGCTTGAACCCCTGACTTTGTGATTCCCAGCCTAGTGCTTTTCCAACAGAGCTACCTTGCTCTCCTCCTTAACCACTAGAGTGGATAAAGTAATAAGGCACAATAATTGACACAGTAGAGAATCATAGGCCAAGTTCTGTACTTCTTTGGTGGTGGTGGTGGTGTGCCATGGAGTCAGTCCCAACTCACAGTGACCCTGCATAGAGTTTTTGCAGCTGTCTTTACAGGAGCAGGAAGCCTCATCTTTCTCCTGTGGAATAGCTGGTAGTTTCCTACTGCCTGATTCATAACCACTACACTACCAGAGCTCCTTTAGATATAAAAAATAATCTTTGGAGGAAAGAGAATAACCCAGTTAGAAAAGGATTCATAGATGAAGGAGTTAGGATTTGGAACTGTGTTTGAATGACAGGCCATGCTTAGCAACTATTTTAGCTAAAAAAAGAGCAAAATAAAAGACACATATATGAAACTAGAATTCTAATAATGACAGTAATAAAGTACTTATTGAACTTGCATGTAATGAGTCTTTATATACATTATTTTATTTGAAACAAAATTTTAAGAAAGGTAGTATAGCACAGGGGTTAAAAATACAAGCTTTGAGTTCAAATCATAACTGAATAAATTTGAGCAAGTTATTTAACATCTCTGGACCACAATTTTACATTTGTGGAAAGAAAATAACATAGTACCACCTCAGAGGGTTGTGGTAGAAATTTTCTTCAAAGCTAGCTTTTTATTGTGAATTGAGTGAAGGTTTACAGGGCAGATTCCTCTTCCACTGAAAAACCGCATTCACATTTTGTGTCAGTAATTGATTGCAATCCCCATGATGAAACAGCACTTCCCACTTCCTCCCTGCGTTTCCTACTTTCATTCCTCCAGCTGCCCTAGACATTGTGAACTTTGTCCTTGTGTAAATGCTGCCCTTTTGATTACAAGTGATTGATTAATTTAAGGGGTTCAGACTTCCCTAGTGTTATCATTCCCCTTATAGGCCTACCAATTGTTAGCCTGAAAATTAAGCCAAGTAGGTAAGCTCATTTCCAGACTTGAAGGGTGACTAAGGGCCACACTCTTGGGGGTTCCTCCAGTCTCTGACTAGTAAGTCTAATATACATATTTAAATGATTTTGAGTTTTGCTGTACACATTTTCTCCCAATCTATCCAGGACCTTCTAATATGATCCCTTTCAGAGCAGTTGGTAGTGGTAATTGGGCACCATCTAGTTTTGGCCTCAGGGTCATGAAGACAGATGTTCATGTGGTCCATTAGTCTTTGGATGAATTGTTTCCATGTGTCTTTGATTTCCTTCACTCCTTTTTCTTCTGGACAGCAAAAGACCAATAGTTACAGCTTAGGTGGCCTCTCACAAGCTTTTCAGACCCCATTCGCTACTCTGGGGTGAAGATTTTTTAAAGAATTGACCTCAGAGGTACTTAGAATGCTTAACACATGTTACTATTATTAAGTAAATACTGTTTTCCTTTTTTTTTCAAGATGAAGAAACTGAGGTTTAGAGATGTTAAGCATATTGTCTAAGGTCTTACAGCTAGTAAGTGATTAAGTTGGGTGGAAAGTCTATATTAACCAATACCATAAACTGAAAGAGACTAGTTATTGTTGTTGCTAAGTGCCATCGAGTCTGTTCCAACTGATAGTGAACCTGCATAAGATTACTGAGGAGCAGCTGGTGGGTTTGAACTGCCAACCTTGTGGCTTGAAGTCTAGTGCTGATCCTACAGTGCCACACCAGAAGTTCGAAAGATACCTTAGGAGTCCTT